GGACCAATTCCCAGTTAAATCATCCCAGCCAGGGCTTTGTCAAGCCTGACCTTAAAAACCTCTAAGGAAGGAGATTCTACCACCTCCCTAGGTAACGCATTCCAGTGTTTCACCACCCTCTTAGTGAAAAAGTTTTTCCTAATATCCAATCTAAACTTCCCCCACTGCAACTTGAGACCATTACTCCTCGTTCTGTCATCTGCTACCATTGAGAACAGTCTAGAGCCATCCTCTTTGGAACCCCCTTTCAGGTAGTTGAAAGCAGCTATCAAATCCACCCTCATTCTTCTCTTCTGCAGGCTAAACAATCCCAGCTCCCTCAGCCTCTCCTCATAACTCATGTGTTCCAGACCCCTAATCATTTTTGTTGCCCTTCGCTGGACTCTCTCCAATTTATCCACATCCTTCTTGAAGTGTGGGGCCCAAAACTGGACACAGTACTCCAGATGAGGCCTCACCAATGTCGAATAGAGGGGAACGATCACGTCCCTCGATCTGCTCGCTATGCCCCTACTTATACATCCCAAAATGCCATTGGCCTTCTTGGCAACAAGGGCACACTGCTGACTCATATCCAGCTTCTCGTCCACTGTCACCCCTAGGTCCTTTTCCGCAGAACTGCTGCCTAGCCATTCGGTCCCTAGTCTGTAGCTGTGCATTGGGTTCTTCCGTCCTAAGTGCAGGACCCTGCACTTATCCTTATTGAACCTCATCAGATTTCTTTTGGCCCAATCCTCCAATTTGTCTAGGTCCTTCTGTATCCTATCCCTTTTATTACATTTACATAGCAAGGGGAGAACAACATAGTTTGCAGCTGTAATAAAGAAGGCAAGCTAGTTCTGATTTTTGTCATTCTGCTTTTTATAATTTTGGGGGTGAAACTGTAAATTTTCCTAGATATAAGCAACCCTAGTATGTATAACACTAAGCAGCCACCACTAGCATGAATGAGACCTTCATTCCCTTCCATGACTTTTATTTCCTGTTGGTCTCCTGGTAGCCTATAAACTCTAGAAAAGGGTCAAATATTTCTCATATTGTTTATCATACTAGTAATAATAAGTAAGTTCCATCTTCAGTTAGACCTTTGGAGATAGTGGCCAAGATTTTCAAAAGACTGAGTGCCTATATCTCTGCTCCTAAATTGCTCAAGAATATGAGAGCTGATGGGTACTCGGTACTTTTGAAAATCAAGCACAACTTATTTAGGTACCTTAATATGAATATAGAAGCCCAACTGTAGGCATCCATTTTGGCAGCCGAAGAAACATCCAGCTAAATATTAAACACTATTAGAAGGGCATTTAATTAAATACACCACATAATCCAAGTTTTATTTTATCTAAAGGTCATTGTGTATTTGAACGGATGTTGCAACAATTTGAATCGCTTTGGGTATTTATCTTGCAATTGTGTAACTGAAAGGTACGGATGAAGAAATTAACTCCCAACCTTCTTGTTTTATGAAAAGATTAGTTATAGTGTTAATTCTTATATGTTTACTTTGTTAGAGACACGTTAGTGTATACCAAGAACTAAACTATTTTTTTACATGAACAAGATACCTGGATGACCATATTAATTATGTCTCAAAACTGTGAACTAAGGAGCAGAGAAGATTAGTGTCCCCACCTTTCTGCTGTTACATAGAACAAACTGAGGTTATACGGTAACTGTGTTAACATAATACATTTACACTTCTGTAACACTTAGCGTCACAGAGGCATTTGACTGTCCTTCCTGACATTCTGCTTTAAAAAAAGCAGTATTCAAAAATCAAGGTAATCCAGATTAAGTGGATTTAAAACTGGTTAACTGACAGATCTCAAAGTAATTGTAAAAGTGGAATAATCATCCTGTGGGAGAGTTTCTAATTGGGTTCCACAGGGATTTGTTCTTGGTCCTGTTCAATATTTGTATCAATGATCTGGAAGAAACTCTGAAATAATTCCTGGAAAAATTCCCACATAATGATGGAGAGAGCTCAGTTATACATATAGATCTGGACTGGCTGGTAAAGTGGGTTTATTTGAACAACATGCTTTTTACCACAGCCAAGTGCAAGTTGTATATGTAGGAGCAAAGAATGTAGGTCATAATTACTTGAGTGGAGACAGTACCCTGGAATGCAGTGACACTGAAAAGGATTTAGGGATAATGGTAGGTAACCAACTGAATATGAGCCCCCTAGTGTAATTCTGTAGTTTAGAGGGCAAATGTAATCCTTTGGTACTCAAACCTGGGAATATCAAGGAGGAGTAGGAAAGTAGCATTACCCCTATATATGGCGTTAATGAGACCATTATTGGAACACCATGTCCAGTTCTGGTATCCACGCTTCAGAAAGGATGTAGAAAAATTAGAAAGGGTTCAGAAAAAAGTTGCAAGAATAATCTGAGACATGGAAAATGTGTCTCATAGTGAGAGACTTAAGAAGCTCAATCTATTTGTTTTTTTCCAAGAGAAGGTTAAGAGGTTATTTGGTTATGGTCTACAAGTACTTAAGTGGGCAAGAGATTTCTGAGGGTAGATGGTGCTTTAATGTATCAGAAAAAGACATAACTAGATCAGGTGGTCAGATGCTGAAGCTTTCTAAAAGAATGCTATATCAAACAGAAGTTATGGACTTGATGCAGAAATTAGTGGATGAGTCTATGGTATGTGTTATGGAGAAGGTGGATTAGATCATAATGGTCCTTTCTCTTCTTAATTTCTGAATCACATCATATGGCTAAATTCTGTGCTAACATGCACCCCGGTGCAACAACTCAGTGAAATTAATAGGACTGCCTGGAATGTAAATCAGCAACAACAACAAAGATATTTGTTTGATCTATCTGGGTGTATGTTTATATATGCTCTAGTTTTAGAATTATTTTTTAATAATTTTGGTTATTATTTTTAATGTAAGAAAATATCTTATGGGGCATATTTTCAGCTCTGCTTCTCTTCGTTTGTTCTGCTCATGTGTCACAAAAGGAGCAAAAAATGACCACAAACCCCTAACATGAGGGAGTTCATAGTGGGCACTGATCAGAAATGGCTTCTATGACACCTTACTTGTGAAAGCTGGTGTGTTAGGGGTAGGAGAGAACGTGACTGGCGCATGGATTATCCACTGGAGATTACTCGAATGCATGCTTGGGGACCATTGGCAGCTGGTGCATGCTAGAACAGCCCCTAGACTACTATAACTTTTCCTGGAACTGGCAGAGAATCAGACATCAGTAACTGGCTCACTGTCAGTTTAGTCTCTGGCTGCCAGCTCACTTTCCACTGGATGCAGCAGAGTCTGGCCCTACTGTTTCAAGGGTAAATTGCTTCCTTTTATCTTGAATTGCTGCACTGAAATTTATATTAGTTTGAATGTATTTACAGTTAGGGCTTTCATAAAAAAAAAAAAACTACCTAAAAATATTTTCTTTGGTCCTATTCCCAACAAACAGAAAGGGAAAATAAATTAGAGCATTATAATTATGCAATAATTTATATTACAAAATAAAATTAATTCAAGGCTTTTTATTATTAATGAAACTGCATACCATATACTTAAACTAGAAAATATCTTTGCTATAGTTGAATTGGTAATGATTCTCTCTCTTTGATGGAGAAAACCCATGTGGTGCATCATTACTGGTCATCTGATGGTGGGTCATACAGTGAAAATAAAAAGCTGTTCACAATAAGGACATTGTTTATAAGAAACAACTACATATCTGATGCTTTATTCCCTTGAGAAAGGACAGAGGGTCTGAAATGTTGAGCTGTTGGGTTTTTTCAGGGTGCTTGCGTAATCGAAATACATTGTTTGTAGAATTTAGTATCTAAGAATATAAGGTTTCAGAGTAGCAGCCGTGTTAGTCTGTATTCGCAAAAAGAAAAGGAGTACTTGTGGCACCTTAGAGACTAACCAATTTATTTGAACATAAGCTTTCGTGAGCTACAGCTCACTTCATCGGATGCATTGCAATAAATTGGTTAGTCTCTAAGGTACCACAAGTACTCCTTTTCTTTTTAAGAATATAAGGTATTCCAATAAACACAAAAGGACCTGATTCTTATCTACACTACTTCCAATTTATGCTGCTCTGGCAGTGTAAAGAAGATTTTAGGTGGGAATACTATATTTTTGCTCACTTCAAGGCCCCTTGCATGACTACAGTGGTGTAAACTGTGGAAGTGAGGAATCAGACCCTAGAGAGTGCACAGGTTTTACATATATTGTAGGCCTGAAGATTGCTTTTCACTGCTCTGGACCTGTAAAGCAGATTTTAAGTAGGGGTAAATTACGTTTACATTCACTTTAAGGCCAGAGCAAGGTAAAGGTGCTTTAGTGTAATTAAGAATCAGGCCGTATATGTATTTATCTTCCTAGAAATGTGTTATTACACCCCGCCCTACTCCTCTAACAGGATTCATACTTTGATGTGTATATTTTCAGTGGTGTGTCTGTAACATTAATATACCCTAACCCACAGGAGCATATGGGCCTCAGTCCAACATAGCACTTAATCATGTACTTAATTTTAAGCATGTGAGTAGTTAACTGACTTCTGTGGGACTGCACAAATGCTTTAAATTAGGCACATGTTTAAGTACTTTACTGAATTGGTGCCTTGATGGTCTTATTACAGCAAAGCTGACTGAAAAGCAATATGACCGGCAGTTGATATTTAGCCTTAGATTATTCTGATTATAAAAACAGTATTAGGAACTGTGATGAGTAATTCAGAAAAATGAATTAAACAATATTTTTTCATTTTGTGTGCACTAATATTTAGGTACCATAGGGGGTGATATATACCAGCTTAAATGGAAAAAAATATGTACTAAAAATATAGGATAAATATGCAGTATTTTCCTCACTGTCTGTGCTCAACAATGTTAATTTTTCAAAGTTGAAATATTGCTCTGTTTTCAAAAGTATTTTCTGATTTTAAAAGACATATACTGTTCTAGAATATGCAGTAGGTTCATCAAAATGCTATTTTTATTCACAGATAATGCACCTCAGGTAGCAATTACTGCACCAGGAACTGGTAACCATAGAAACAGCTCCACAGGCCCAACACCTGACTGCTCTCCTCCATCACCAGACACTGCACTTAAAAATATAGTAAAAGTTATACGCCCTCAGGTAGGTCATCAGAATAAACTCTCTTGTTAATTGTTTCTGATTCTGTGAACAGTTGACCGTGTGTGCACGCACATGTATGTATGCATGTACTCTGTCTCTAATAAGGACCTTTTGAATATATAAATGTAGATAATTAAAAAAATGGAGAAACTGAGACGTCCAAAATATTTTCTGACCCCGGAAAAAGATCTTGGTTATACGTGGGGAAATTAAAACCTCTGGGAATATGGTCAGAGAGATGTATAATGTCTTAAAATAATTATACAACTATTTCTTGTTACAGAATTAATGACAAATATTTTTTTTTTGTTTAATGCTAGTGCTTTATTTGGCTGCCTTTAGTTTTCCCCCAAGTTTTTGTTCTCTTTTTATCCTTTTTCCAGGCCTCTTTCCCTCAGTATACTTCTGTCCTCTTGATTCCATACCTTTTGGACATTATTTATTTTACTTTGTCTTATATTATGGTTGAGTCTACATAACTTTAAACTTTTCCACATATTTCTAATTCTGTGTATAGAATAGACGAAAGGGTCTTATACCTGCTTAACACTATAGTACCTAAATATCTTCCAGTAGGGCATTAAGCAATGTGACTAACATCTGTCACAAGTTATTTGTTTGTTCTCTCATCCTTTCTTCAGGAAGAGAAGCATATGCTGTGGTGTGTCTTGTTTTGGTTGTATTAATTTTTTATAAGACACATGTTGCTATGTATCTGTTACAGAAGGCAAGGTCAAAGAAATGTCTTATATTTTGAGTAGAAGGTGATGAGGTTTGTGATAGTCTTTTAGTTCTTGGAGAATTCACTCCACAGGCTGGGACCAGCTCCTCCCCCGCAGATTCTGTCTCCCACATGGATGAGCTTTGCCCTTATTGTAGAGAACTCTGTTGTGCCAGAGAGCAAAGTTGTTGAGTACAGTCTTCATCCCAGAGCTTTAGGTGGTCTGTTAGCTAACCTGGGCCCAGGCAATGCAGTGCCATGAAAATAAGGACCTAGACTTTGAACTAGATTCAGTAGTACATGGGAAACTTGTGGAGAGACCAGAGAGGCTGAAGACTTCATGCCAAGGTATATCGTCACATTGCTATAGTCCAACTGAGAGGTGACACAGACATGAATGAGTTGATGCCATCCAAACATTGGTCCCTCGATGGTAGTGGTGTGGTTGTATGTGGTGAAAGACAGGTAGAGCTGTGTGTCATCTGCATATTGGTGCCACTTCAGTTGTCTGACCAATTCACCTAGTGGCTGCACATAGATGTTGAAAAGGACTAGAGAGACAATTGATCCTTGTGGGACTCCATGGTGAGGGTCTAGTGGTAGAGGTGAAGTTTCTCATCAGTACTCATTGGGTGCATGCCTCCAGGAATGACTCAAACCGTATTAACACATTACTCTGCACCATTGCCGCCTCTCACATGAGAAGCAGTTGACATGGCTGACCATGTCAAATGCTGCAGATAGGTCCAGAAGGTTGAGAATGGATGTCTGCCCTCCATCCACTGACAGCTGGAGATCATCCATTACTGCCACTATCACAGTTTCAGTTCCATGTTCTGGCCTGAATCCAGATTGTACTATGTCTAGAATATTATCTTCTTGGCCTTTTTTGCCTTTTCCCAATTGTCTCCCCCTTTTGCTATTTCTGTAGGCTCTCTCTTTCTCTATCTCTCCCCCTCTACATCACAGTTCTATTGAAGTACCTTCTTCCCTCTTAGTTGTTTTTTCTAATCGGAGGCAGGCAGACAGGCACTGGAAATACTGTTGGAACAAGTTGTTGTGTGGTAGTTCATTGAAAATAGCATTTAAAAATCTGTTTTCATCATGATATTGCCAACAGATGGACCCAGAACATTGAATGGTGATGTTCTTGTGCTAGTTCATCTTGAATAGTGTTCATAGGGACTCAGGGGAGGAGTTGTTTGGATTTAAATCAGACCCATTTACGCACTCTCAGTGTATATGGTATCAGCGCTGCTGTCATCCTACTGCAGAAGAAAAGGGGATATGGTCAGAACTTCACCATTCTTGTTAGAATGGACAGTCAAAATAACTTTCAACATAATATTTAGCCACCCTTTTTGCTATGTAGAACACTTCAATAGTAGGAAGTATGTAACCTATTGGTCAGTGTGTATTTATGTGTCTGCATCTGTGACCAATCCACCGTGGAGATGAATCTGTTACAGCTCTCAGCTCCCCTTCCCCTTTAATTTCCTGTATCTCCCTTAGATCCCTATCTGCTATGTCCCCCCCACCCTTCCTTTATCTTTCCATTTAGCTAATCTCCTCCCAACAAAACCCTACCCTAAGAATTTTTAAAAAAGAAATTGTGGAACTAACATGATGTTTGCAAAACATCACTCTGTTAATTCTGGTTATATATTTACTCCCTTTCCCCTGCCCTTTGTCTGTCTTGTCTATTAAGACTGCAAGCTCTTTTGAGCAGGGACTGTTACTCTGACTGTACAGTGCCTGTCTTGGTTGGCCTCTAGGCACTATCATAATACAAATAAATAATAATGATAATATATAATACACACAGATTAATTCATTTTAGGGGTATATTTTGTTCCCTGTTAGGGCCCCTTTACTCCATTCTGACAGAGTAGAGAGGTTTTAAGGGGAACAGAAATAGCCTGCAGGGAACAGCCCCAGCACAAAAGTGGACTAAACTGCTATACCACTTTTTTCCTCTTCTCTATCCAGCATAGTGACATACTAGGGGAGTGACTGGATGGGACAGCGAATGCTAGAATGTAAAATTCTCTGGCTGTTTGGGGCTACTGAACTCCCGCAGCCCCTGCACTCAGAGCTGCTTTGTCCTTTTGCAAAGGCATACATCTGCCTCTGTCTTCTAGGACCCCACTTTGCCACTACCCACCCAATCCCTTCTGGATCCTTGCTTCCTTCATATTCCACTGCCTTCCCAAGTCCTCCATTCCCTCCAAAAACCTTCCCTTTAAGGCTCTTTTATTACTGTTAGACTCCAGGCTACAGACAGGCTCCCTACGCAGAAAGTTAAGAAGCTGCCTCTGATATGTGAAGGCAGCAGAAGACAGCATCCCACAGATTCCTCTGCCTGCAGACCCAGGGGCTGTGGAGGTCCTGATTTTCCTCAGAAGCAAGCTTTTCCAATTTTCACCATAATCAATAGGCTTATGCCCACTGATGTCTAGTACGTTCTTTGAAATTGATTCAGAGTTATCATGTTACATACGAACAAACAGAAAAATGGTATGAAGTTCAGCGTATGAGTGAAGGTGAGATCCGTGATTTTTTTTTTCTTCATTTTCTTCAGACAAATTTTGCCATGGTCTAACTCCATCAAGAATTATTTTGATTACTAAACTTTAGCCTGGAAAAGGAAGTACAACTCCTGTTCATGAGTTATGCTTCTATGAAACACCAAGCTGTCACTCTGGAGTGTTCCTCTCACTCTGGAGTTACTCACAGCCCTCTGTGCTGAAAGGAATGATTGGAAACATTTTTTATAAAATGCCATGTGACATCAGAGTTTTGAATATGAATGTTTAATATTTGTGTGTTTCATAGCACATAATTGCTGGTTTCCAAACACTATCAGAGTGATTCTGTAAGTGAACAAAATCCTACTTTTGGAAACACCTTTGTAAAACTGCCATAACATAGCTTTTCGTTTTGTCTGCTTGATTTTATTTGAACCCCTTATTCTTTTATTTTCAACTTCAGTTTTGTTCGAGTGATAGGAGCTCTTGAACCTGATTCTCATTTACACTGAACCCCCCTTACACTACTCTGGCAGTGTAAGAACCCCTTAAAATGGTCGTAAATTACATTTATGCCGACTTCAAGACTTTCTGATACTGGCAGAGTGGTGTAAAGGGGCTCTGTTTAGACTATGATTTAAAGGTGTGTTGTTAGATTGTGAAAGATAGCTTGATCTAAGTTACACCTTCTAAAACTTTAGAGTCCTTTGAGCTTTATTTTGACCACTTACCATGTACTAAAGTACATCTTGTCTTGTCTGCGCTAGAGCTGTAGAAGGTGTTAGACTGATTATATCTTTAAATCATAGTCTAAAACAAACCTAAAAGAGACTAAGCCCACATGTAAAGTCTTATGTGCATTAGTCAGCACACTGAACAAAGTACTCTGGATTACAGCAAGTCACTTGTTAATCAGTATTTGAATACAGGTATGTCTACACTGCAATTAGATACCAATGGCTGGCCCAAGCAAGCTGACTCCCAGTCTCTTGGGGCTTGGGCTGCAGAGCGGTTTAAGTGCAGTGTAGGCTTCCAGGCTTGTGCCACAGCCAGAGCTCTGGGACCCTCCCACCTTGCAGGGTCCTAGAGCCCAGATTCCAGTCTGAGACAGGAAGTCTACACTGCAATTAAACAGCCCTGCAACTCGAGCCCTGAGAGCTTGAATCAGCACTAGCCAGCTGCAGGCTTTTAATTGCCGTGTAGATATACCCTAGGTGAGCCACATTCTCTTGTAATAATGTCTCTATAACGTTTCAAGACACAGATGTAAGGCTCAACCATCTCAGCATCTCCTTTTGTGAATTTGTTTTTCTTGGCCTAGCCATTTACTTGTGGAGTCTTGGGCAATAATCATGAATTTCAATTCCGAACTCCCATACACACACAAACTCACTCTCCTGCTGGTAATAGCTCATCTAAACTGACCACTCTCCAAGTTTAAATCCAAGTTAAACCAGAACAGTATGGGGGTGGGGGGGATGTGAGAAAACCTTGATCTATGCAGGAAATAGCCCGACTTGATTATGTAAAGAGTTGTCACTTTGGATGGGCTAGCACCAGCAGGAGAGTGAATTTGTGTGGGGGGTGGAGGGTGAGAAAACCTGGATTTGTGCTGGAAATGGCCCACCTGTTGATCACTTTAGATAAGCTATTACCAGCAGGACAGTGGGGTGGGAGGAGGTATTGTTTCATATTCTCTGTGTGTATATAAAGTCTGCTGCAGTTTCCACGGTATGCATCTGATGAAGTGA